TGGCGCTGTACTAGCGCGTCTTTGCAGCGATCAAGAGTGAACAGGTCAGGCTTCTGCGAAAATAATCACATGTGCGGGGTTTACGCAAACAAGGGACCCCCCAATTTTGACCCCAAAAAGTAGGGTTTCCTTAGAATAAGGACCCCAACTAGGTACCCCTAATTTCGGACACCGCCACATTCACAAATAGAACCCCAAACCCTCAAAACCCCCAGCGCCCAAAGCTTATGAAGCCCAAGGCACATGAATGGACCCCTAACATCGACCCCAAAATAGTAGGATTCCCTTCTGATAAGGACCCCAATAAGGTACGTACCCCCGCAATGTCGCAAACCCACATATAGAATCCCAAACCCCTAACATAGACCCCAAATAGTAGGATTCCCTTATGATACGGACCCCAATAGAACCCCAAACCCTCAAATCCCCAAGCGCCCAAAGCCCTAAGCCCTAAACCCTAAACCCTACTCCCAATTTCGGAAGCCCAAGGCACATCAGCTTCTCCGGGTTCACGTCGCACTTCGCCGCCAGCATCGCGGACACCTGGGGGTCACAGGGAGGGCCGGCTCGGGGGTGTACCGGGGACTCTGTGTACCTACAGTTTAGTAGGCGCTACCCTCTTAGTTAATAGGTATATCCCATAAAAACTGTAGGTGAAAAGGGTCCCAGTAGGGTTTGGGGGATTAGGGGGGTTTAGGGGTTTGGAGGTTTATCAGGGGTGTAAGGGTCGGTTTAAGAGGGTCTAGGGTGGTCGAGTTGAGGCATTTACGCTAGAGGATTTAGGGAGGCACCTTTTAAGGGGCCTTCCTTGGGTGACACAGGGCGATATCAGGTACCGAATTCCCTCATTCCCTACTACATGTTACCCTCCCCGAGCATGCGTAAACGAAAGTACACACACCGCGTAATTGGGAACGCAAACACGCACTCAACCCTAAACCCACGAAAGCCGGATGCGCGCAACCCTATACGCCCGAAATAGACGTTAAACCCTCACTCCTAATCCTTCAAACCTTAAACCCTATAGCCCTAAACCTTAAACCCGAAACCCTAGACCCTAAACCCTCTACCTTAAACCCGAAACCCTAAACCCTTACAATCCATATCCATATCTTTTGACTACCACCACTTTGAAGGTCAAGTTGAAAGGAGTTTGACTGGTTATGACTAGGCTAACAGCCTGGGCTCTCCGTTTGGCTCCAAGCAAGTGGTGAAGGTTGACGCGTTGTCAACTATGAACAGAGTGCGGACACGACCTTCGCGACGTACCTTCAGGAGACGGTTCCGCAGATGGTTTCTGCGCAGAGCTCGCAGGACTTCTTACTGGAGCCAGCTTCTTCTGTGCATGTGCAAGATTTTCTTTCTGGGTCTCAGATGCGTGTTTTTCTGGTGCGTGGAGCAAGCGTACAGATTTGCGGCCAGAGATGGGCCGACAGTTTCTGGGCAAAGTATAGGCGCGTCTTCTACATCCACGCCAATTAGACGGGGCAGTGTTTCTGACAGATCTGTACCATTGCATATTGACCTTGGTCCCTCTTGGCACGAGTTGGACCAGATGACGCTCAACAACCTCACCCTAAGAGGCCTTCGTGTCTGGACAGCAAGCGTGGAGGCCTGCCCACATCGTGTGCAAGCTTGGTCTGACAGCCTGCGCGCCAAAGCTGCGACCCTGCTGCAAAATCGTCGCTGGCCTGAGTTTGTTGATGATCTGCTCATGACCGCTGCCAAAGTTGGTTGCTTACTTGAAGCTGGCGCTGTAGAACATACGCACCTGGCCGGTATGCATGTCCTCACGCGTAGCCTTGCTGACTGGATTTTGCCTCCTGGGGCTCGCGCAAAGCGACCCACGAGCCTGCAAACAGATGTCTTCTTCTTTGTTTTGGGTGCCCTCAAGCTCTTGCTTAAAACTAGATGGCAAGCCCTTAAAGGGAAACGTAGACGAGCCCGTGCGTTATCTCGCTGCAAATGCTTGCCGCCTACCGTGCATGAAGCTATAGCCGCCACATGCGGTTGCTGGGACGTCAACATGTTTGAGGACGTGAGTTTGTTCATTTGTTGGCAAGTCTTCGGCTTGCTCAGCTCGGCGCCCGGACATGCAGTGCTGTACATGATGAGCAATGGGTTTTTCGACTACCTCGGTTCCACTAAGTACAACTTAAAGAGAGCTAAGAGCCATGCCGCAAGCCCTATGACGCGCTGTTATCAGCATTTGCAAGAACATCGCAAGGCCTTGTTGCAGAAAGAACCTGTGTTGAACCACAAAGTCCGCCTGTTTAAGACTGTGCATGCTGCTGACACGATGTTCTGGATTCTTGCCACCGGGGAAGAAAGCTACATCCGTACGCTTGAAACTGCCAGCATAAGCTGCTGGCAACCGAAAGCAAACACGTCGGCAATCGGACCGCGAAACACAGCGTGCCGTGCCAAGACACGATGCCGACCTAGGCGTCGCAAGTGCGCGGTGCGCAATGCGGACTGCATCCAAGCCCAGCAAGGCCATTTAAGTAGGGTTGCTAGGCGTAGGCTAGCCCCTTCTCCCCTTCCGTTTTGCCTTAGTAGGTCCTTACTCAAGCTTCCCTACAAAGATGCCTATACCCTAGCATGCAGGAGCCTCTTGCTTGAAGGCGGGGGTTTTGGGCCTGTAGATATCGGCAACGATAAGTTTCAGACTCTTCTTGTCAGATATGTCGCTGATGCTCAGTACGTGTGCTGGGACAGCCTTTGCTGCCGGTTTCAGTCCCGTGTTCGTCACGCTGGCGAAATGGCCATTGTGATTGGCCTTGCGTTGCGCAAGTTACCCAGCACAACCGCTGCCACTCGGTGCCGGAAACGACTAGACTACAAACTTCGGCAGTTTGGGGAGCGCACATGCCGACGCACATATGTTCCCTGGCTCCCTAAAGTGCCTACCTCCGTGTTCCATAAGTCCATTGCTAGTGTCCTCCACAGTGCCCGGCTTAGCCTTTCCCAAAAGTGGATACTGTTCAGTTACTCGCCTGTCCGTGGGAAAACTGCCAAGCGCTCGGACTGTTGGCGATACAAAAGCGTAGCAAAGGACATCCGTGATGAGCAGCTACTCAGCTGTCCACTTCAAGTGCTTAGGCCTTCGCCGGAGGATTGTCGAGACATGCGCAGGGTAAAGCTGCATTGGGGTGTTCCGCTAGGTTCCAAGCTGTGACAGGACAGAGCAGATGCTTTAAAGGTTCTTAGTCATATCGTGAAAAAGGTAGGGGTGAAGCTTACTTGGGATATGAGCCGCCATATCCAAGGGTTCTTTGCCACCTTAGTGCATCCCGAACGTGAGCAACTGGAGGTGCAATATGACACATGTTTTCCCTTACACAACGCTACACACGTACATGTGCAAGAGGATAAAGACCGTAATGCAGCCTGGGTTCTCCCTAAACGGTTGTATCAGCAATGGTGCGTTTTCATGTTTCGCCAAGACAACGACCACTGGCTTCCGGTCAATGCATGCGTTCAAGGCATTGTTGAAGAGTACCGTTGCTTGCACGAGCAGTGTCTCCCACAACACTTGCGCCATTTCGCAAAAAAGTCTAAATGGGCCCACTACAGCCTTCCGTATGCATATACCACGCTTAAGCAAAAGTGCTTCCAGTCCGGAGTGGGACAGACCTGCAGGAAGGCTGGACACAGCTGCTTCCGACGAATCATTGCCTGGTCCACTCACCCAGCCAAATCGCTATATCGAGGAGCTTCCCGAGCTATCAGCGGCGTGATCGCCGCATTAGGCGCAGGCTTTGAAACTGCAAACTTGCACACTGCCATCCCTGACTTGAGACGTGCAGTGGCAAGACTGCGCAGCAGTTCTGAGCCGTGCGTGTGTACCCGTTGCAGCAAAAGCAAAGCACAGATCTGTGTCAAGTGCTAGATGCTGCACAAATGTATGAAGAACTGCCTGTTGACAGGGTTCTTCTAGCAGCGCAGGAGTTCCAAAAGCTTCTCCAGGAAAATAATGACGCTGCTGGGATAGCCGTGACTAGGACAAAAAGGTTGCACACTTGGCTGTCAAAGTGCGCTGGACATTTCAACCAGCGTGCCAAGATCTGGCGCTGGGCCGATATTCTCACTGTGCTGACGCTGGCCCTGTCGCAACCTACTGTCCGTTTAGGAAGGTTTCTGTTTAAACAGGTCCGGGGTGTGCCTATAGGAGGCCACTGTAGTAAAGCTATTGCCTCCCTGGTTTTAGCTTTTGACGAGTTTAAATGGGTCAAAAACAAACTTGCACAGGTTCAGCTTGGTTTTCTGCCGGATGAAACCTGGGAGTTTCACGAAGTCGCTGCTTTTGTCCGCTACGTTGACGATGTTGCCACCGCGTCAAAAGTGCTTTGTGACGACTGCCTCCTAGACCTCGTTGATACCATTTACACTCCCCCGATCAAGTTTGAAGCTGCGCCAAGTAGTAAGCTGGGTGTCCCTTTCCTTGATATTTGGATAGTGCCTGAAAATAATGACATCCGCATAAGAGCTGACCTCGCAGAGGCCGACTGGCGAGATCAGGCAGGTAAACACGCTCCCGCCAAATTCAGACTTAAGCCCTGGAGAGGATTTTGCAGTTTTGATTTGTGTGAAGCCCGTGGGCTCGTCGCTTCAAAACTTGTGCGACTTAGGACGCTGCAGTTGCCCCAAAATGAGTTGCGAAAAGCTGTTTCCGCCGAGCTTCAGCTTTGGATCCTCTCAGGATATCCTAGGCAGATCATTGAAAGGTTGTGGACACATGCCCATCATTTCCCAGCAGCAAGCAAGTGTGCCAGAAATCAGCTCCATGCTTGGGCTATGCAAAGCAATCTCCCTGACAGGGTTGCGTCGTACTGGGAGTCTTGAATGCCGGGGGGTTTTTGTTCGTGTACCTGTGTGGTTTCGGTTTTAGGGTTTCTGGCGCTGAGTTGAGCTCCCCGTGCTGCGCTTGCTGAGTGCTCCGCCTGCAAGCTGCGGTGCTCTAACTGGCCAGTTTGACTGTCTTTTTTGCCTGCGCTGCCATGGGCGGGAAAGGCAAAGGCAAGGGCAGCTGGTACAAAGGCAAAGGCTACCACAGAGCAGGCCCTTACTCGTACCAGCACGGCCATGACCTTGGCGCTACAGTCGGATGGACCTTCCAAAATGCGGTCCAAGGGGCCCTGCAGCAAGTGATGAGCCAAGGCATCCAGGGAGTGCTTGACCGTGCCCTCCAGACCGGCGGTTCATCGCCTGCAGCGGTGCCGCAACCTGCTACCTTGCCTGCGAAAGCCGGAGGGAGCCTTGCCTCCTCCATCTTGCAGGCTATCACCGGGAAGCAGGCTCCAGTGGAGCAACCGCCAGCTGTTACTGTCGAAGCTACCCATCCGCAAGGGACAGGTGCAGCCAGTAGTGGCGACAAGGATGCACTCATGCTCAAAATGATGGATATGCTCACACAGCAACAGAAGCAGCACTCCGACCAGATGAAACTCTTGGTGGAAAAAGTCACGCATGAAAATTGGGCGCATGAGCAGGAAGACGTTCCGGAGCCAGTAGCCGGGCATCTTGAGGAGGCTGCCGCCTTGGAAGCAGCCATTGCTGAGAGCCAGGCTCGCTTGCAGGAGATTCAAGGCAGAACCAAGCCTGCCACCACCGCCTCAGCAAAGGCCAGTCCAAAGGCGGCGTGCTCGGCCGCTAGCAAGCAGACGCTGCTGCATGATGCTTTCTTGAGAAGCAGTGGCACGGGACGTAACTGACTATCTTGTGTGATGACCGGTGGCATGGGCAGTCCCATCTTAGATGCAGTTAGCATTTGGATGCTGTCACTGTTCCTGGTTTCTGTAAGAGCAGCGGTGTTGCTGTCACTCCTTCGCTTTGTGTGGAGCGAGACTTGCCAGCATGCACTTGACTCCGTGCTGCACTGGGTTTTGGGCGCTGCGTTCAAGGTATGCCTTGAAAACATGCAAAGCTGGATCATGCCACGCGAGAGCTTTGATGCTACTGGCATGCTCAGTCTGCTACGGCAAAACCACAGCAGCGCGGATGACGCCACTACAGAAACCACCGGTGGCAGTAGCTGGGCGGCCCACCTCTCACATGAGTCAGTCCTCTCAAGCCCTTTGTTCACAGGAGTGCTGTGCGTGATGTTTCGCACAGTCGCTCCCAAATTAGCACGCATCATTGTTAGATGAAAGCCGTTGACCACCCTATGTTATTGCATGGGAGGGCTTACAGCACCAATCTCGTTGCACATGTCAGGAGATGCTGGTTTACCAGCAGAGCAGCAAACGCATGCACGGCCTGTAGCTCTATGCTGCAGCCTTGTCGGCACAGGAGTTTCGCAGCTCTCGGCAGGTTTAGGCTAGCGCTCAAACGGATTCGCAGGCATCCGTGCACAATATTGGGTCTGCCGATAAGGCACAGTGCGAGACATCCCCTGCAGCAGCTGCCAAGAGATATCTCGAAGCAAGAACCTTTGACGTTTCCACCAGTCGGAAAAAGTCAGACTTTGCGATTCTGGGAGATTGCAATCAGATTGGGAGCCTGTGTCCCAAATTCTTGCTGACATTCAACTCATTCTTGACATCTCTTTTTCTGTTGCGGCCTCAGCCTACAGTGTTGCTTGTGAGAAACCCTAAACTTTCCTAAACCTTATCCGTAAACAGGGCCCTGCCTAAACCCTATAGACCCTAAACCCTAAACTTTCCTAAACCTTCTCCGTAAACAGGGCACCGTCTCCGGTGAGGCCATCGGCGTCGCACCGGCCAGCGGAGTGAGACCGACTCTGGGGACGTTCCTGAGGCCGATTCTTTGGGATGGCTCCCGAAACCGTAGTGCAACTTTAGGGTTTAGGGTTTAGGGTTGAGAGTTGAGGGTTTAGAGTTTAGGTTTTGGGGTTTAGTCCACCTTTCTGCGTGACGGGTCATCGAGGATGATGGCTTCCTGCACCTGAGAGACCACTTCGCCGGAAGTTGTCGAGAGACTTTGCGCGGCGCCACCCAGGTAGCGCGCCCTGTAGCCCCAAGCGCCGGACTTGGTAAGGGCCCATGGCTAGTGCCATGGTGATAATAGCTGGCGGCAACCGCCCTTCGCGGACATCCTGAAGCTCTGTCAACCAGAACCATTTGATCGAGCCGTCCGCCGTGAGCAGACGTCTTGCCAACACCTGGACAGCCAATGTTGGTAAAATATACGTTGTATTCAATTTTTGCGTTTTGAACTAAATGTATTAACTCTTGATGTATTTTATCCGCCTAACATCATCACGGCCGCTGTGCGCAAGCAAGGCATTGTGTGGCTGCGCATTGCCGGGTGCGGCTGGAACTTCAAAACTTCCTTAGCCCTACCCCAAACTAAACCCCCACATGTTTATATATGTGTATACATACACACACATACATACACATACATATACATATATATATATATACAAAAGCCCTAAACCCTTTTAACCCTAAACCCTAAACCCTGAGCCCTTGGGTGTGAGAGAAAGAGGGGCTGAGCTTTAGGCATCTACGTAGCGGCTCTAGGAGGAACCCTCAACTCGAAGCCTTCGACTTCTTACAATAAGCAGGGTTTAGGGTTTAGGGTTTAGGGTTTAGGGTTTCGGGTTTCGGGTTTAGGGACCGTTTGTTTAGGGAGCGGCTGGCTAGGAGTTTTTTTTTGCACGCCCAGACGGTCGTCGAATCCCAGAGTTACCCATGAATCGCTACAGGTCTCAACCACTAAAGTTCTGGGTTGAGGAGAGAGTGGAGCTTAAACCCCTAAAACCTCCAATGAAGCCCTCAATCCATTTTGCCCGAAGGCCCTGGAGCCCCAAACTGGCTGGTTCTTAGTACTTATTAACCAATTATAACTGTACTTGTAACTCACTTGTGAGGTCCTGAAGTGTCCGAATATGGTTATAAGACAGTTAGAAGTACAGATACCTAAACCCTAAACCCTAAACCCCAAACCCTAAACCCTAAACTCTAAACCCTAGACCCGTGAATAAGTACCATGAACCTCCAAGTACTGGCTGGTTCTTAGCAGGGAATGAGTCCGAAGCAGCCACGTAACAAGTTTAGGTCCGCCTTGGCTTCCAGAAGAACCTTCACAAGAGGCCCTAAACCCCTGACCCCTAAACCCTAAACCCTAAACCCTAAACCCTAAACCCTAAACCCCAAGCGAGTTGGTTCAGGGTTTCGAGCTTAGGCTCCTCCCCAATCGCCTCAACCACAAAGGACTTAGCGTGAATTTCCCTACTACCCTCTCGATGGAGGGGGGGGGGGGGGGGGAGGGGGGGGAGGGGGGGGAGGGGGGGGGGGGGGAGGGGGGGGGGGGGGGGGGGGGGGGGGAGAGGGGGGGGGGGAGGGGGGGGAGGGGGGAGGGGGGGGGAGGGGGGGGGGGGGAGGGGGGAGGGGGGGGTTGGGTCATATGGAGGGGTCGTAAGGGAAACTGTGATGGGGGTTTTGGGTTTTGGGCTTAAAGGGCTTTCTTCATGCTCTACTCCACCAAGCAAGTCCACATTCTAGCAGGGTTTGATCCAAATTCTCTGAACCTTTTTCGGGGGGACTTGTTTCCCTCCTTGCTTAAGAATGTGAAAGTCGTGTTTACGGTTTTGGGTTAAGGATTTATAAACTCCAGAAATAAAGCCGCGATTTAGATCAACTACTTCCGGATTTGTGGGTCTCACTTACCTATTCTTTCATACTTGAACACATTTCGAGTCTGAACCCTTCATGCATCATAAGGATATAGGGTGAGGGGTGTGTCTAAGGGTCTTAAGACCTAGGGGTCCCCTACACCTTAGACACTCGTCCCTTAGGATGCAGGTACTTCTGTACTTTTTCACCGGGGCCAGAAGTTAGGTCTGAATGTCTGCTGGAAGGCTAAGGGTCCATGTACCTCTGCATACTTGGGCCTTAAAGGGGTTCCTATAAAGCAGCTTCAAGGGCCAAGCATATGCTATATAGGATCAGGACCCTAAGTAAGGGTAAAGGCCATGTTGGGCCATATACGTCCCCTACGCTGACCAAGAATCATGATCTATGACCATCAATGAAATCAAAAGTGGTGTTGATGAGGCTTCTTCTCTGGAATGCTGCTGGGATGGCTGCTTAGGGCTAACTAGGGCTTAGGGTTTAGGATTGAGGTGTTAGGGTTTAGGATTTAGGATTTAAGCCCTAAACCCTGAACCCTAAACTTAGGATTTAGGTGTTGACGAACTCTTTGGTGTTATGTTGTTACTGGGCCTGGACGTGCTCAGGGTGCCGCAGCATCATCGGCAAAGAGCCTGGGCATGATGGGGGGGTTTAGGGTTTAGGGTTTAGGGTTTGGGGTTTAGGGTTTCGGGTTTAGGGTTTAGGGTTTGGGGTTTAGGGTTTAGGGTTTAGGGTTTGGGGTTTAGGGTTTCGGGTTTAGGGTTTAGGGTTTGGGGTTTAGGGTTTAGGGTTTGGGGTTTGGGGTTTGGGGTTTCGGGTTTAGGGTTTAGGGTTTGGGGTGTAGGGATGAAGAGCTGGGGATGGTGCTCTGGGGCTTATAAGGCCTCATGATTTATGATTTATGATTTTGTTTGTTTTTTTTTTTTTTGGTGGGGGGGGGGGGGGGGGGGGGGCAAATTGCCTTCAAAACCCTATAGCTCCACTAATGAGAGGCTCCATACCCTCAGAATCATCGGATCATCGGCAGTCTGCGACCCTAAGGAAGCCCTGTAGCACACCACTGGTCCTTCTCAATCCGAGTGGCAAACATCCGAAAGCATCTAAGCTCGGGTTCAGGGTTTAGGGAGGGGGTTTAGGGTTTAGGGTTTAGGATTTAGGCTTTGTAGGGTTTATGCAGATTTGAAATGTTTATAGGGTTTACATTTATACAGGTTTGTACACGCGTTGGGCTTAGAACGAACAGCCCTAAGCCCTAAGCCCTAAAACGACCCAAGCCCCAAACCCGATGGTTGGGTTCATGGGAGGGGTACAGGCCTTACATATATATATATATATATACATATACATACATATATATATATAATCCCCCACCCTAAACCCTCAACCCTAAACCTTACACCCTGAGCCACATCTTTACATACATCGATATATATATATATATATATATATTAATACACATTACATATACATATACATATACATATACATATGTGGCTTATAAGGCTTCCAGGCTTCATAGGGTCCACGTAATACGTGGCCTATGGGGCCTAAAGGGCTTGAGGTTGTTCAGGGCTTGACTTTGTCGAGTTTCTAGGGCTTAGGGTTTAGGGTTTCGGGTTTCTAGGGCTTACGTTTTCGGCTTTAGCGGTCTCAAAGACGCAGGGCTTTAAGACCCTAAACCCGAAACCCTAAACCCTAAACCCTGAACCCTAAACCCTCAACCCCCCCCCCCCCCCCCCCCCCCCCCCCACCACTTCTGGTTTGGAGAACCTACGAGGTGTACGTCCGCGCCGACATCGATGAGGGCCCGAAGCACGCTGGCATCCTGCTGTTGGTTTTTGGAGGGTTTAGGGTTTAGGGTTTAGGGTTTAGGGTTTAGGGTTTAGGGTTTAGGGTTTAGCGTTTAGGGTTTAGGGTTTAGGGTTTAGGGTATCCTGCGGTTGGCTTTTGGAGAAGTTGGAACTGAAGGGTTGGTTTAGGGTTGAGGGTTTAGGGTCTTAGGGGTTTAGGGGTTGAGGGGTTTAAGGGTTTAGGGGTTTAGGGTAAAACCCTACGGAGCTCCATGAACCTCATAAACCCTGAACCCCAAAAGCCCTAAACCCTAGACCAAATAT